ATATGTACCACACAATTCTTATGCATTTACATATCTAACATCTAAAGGTTGATATTTACAATTATAATACCTTGGTATTGAAAGCCAACGCATGAAAAAGCTTTATTTCACTTTTAAAAAGTTAGGGATTGTGGCATTTTTTATGTGATGTCAAAGATATGAAAGCATGTATGTCAATATGAATGTTTAGTTGTTAGATATGTAAATATATAAGAATTGTGTGGTAGTAAAAGACCCTAAAAACAATAATGCAGTACATACCTCTGGATGAGAAGCTAGCAAATTCTGGTACTCTTGCTGAAAGCTATATGGACCTTTTTTGGAAATCAGAAGTCCGCCATGAATCTCCCTAGATTGAAGCAACTTGAAAGATTCCATTAGCTCTTTCTTCCTTGCAAGATGCAAGTAATGTCTCTGTAAACCATAATAAATCTTCATAACAGCTACAAATGAATGCTCAAAAAAGTCTTTTAATAGTATTGACTAATTGTTTAATTATATCGAAAGATATTGTTGATATCTTTGCATCTGTGGATCACATAAGCCCATCGCTGCGACATTTGAGGAGGGTACATTATTCTCCCTTAATTATCCATTATTGTGTTTATTTCTTTCCTTTCCATCATGATGATTGAATTTCCCTCCAATTGTATCAGAGGGTTAGCTGAGCTATTATACTTGTTGTTTATTTGTATTAGATGAATGCAAAATTATAGAGTTTTTCCCTCTAAGAAAGTTCCTCCTAAATTCCACGCGGTATCGAATACAGAAGAAAAACCCTATATCTCTTTCTCAGTCGTTGGAATCCTCCCTGCAGATGTCAGTTGGCCTGCAGGTCCTCCCCTGTTGCGGCTCCTGCTCTCTCTAACAACCGAATCTCTCCCTTTAACCGCTAGGTAGCCCACAAACTTCCTCGCGTTTTCCAGTCGCAAATTTCCCCAAACTTTCACTTTCTAGTGTAAATCATCTGCAGCTCAAACAAAAATCCTAGCGAACCTAACCCAATCTGAACTTTTTCTCCCTAGTGGAAATGATATGCACACTGATGTTGGATTTTCTCTCTGATGGAAATCCAAGACCTATGAGTGTCATAATTTGAACTTTCTCCTTGTAGCAGAAATCATGTGTCGGCGGCACAGTTTCTCTTTAGTGGAAATTCTATGTTGGCGACAAATAGTTTCATTTTCTAGTGGAAATTCCATGTTGACTGTAGACAGTTTCTCTCTCCAGTGGAAATCTTGATGGTGACCAAATACAACATGAAATTTTCTTCCTCTTTAAAAATTATATCTGAACCCGAACCTAGAATGTTTGGTTTTACACCATCTGAAATCTATTGATGCATCACCAATCACAAACTACATTGCAGCAATTTCCTCCCATAGTATCAATTTGTGTTCATGTACATCTGTAGTAAATAAAAAGATGATCATCTCACAGGAAAAAACCATGCAACCAAAAATTACTAATCCTAAATATCGGGCATAAAAGATTGAAAAGCACATGATCATGTCATGTTTTGTCAACTCCAAGACCACGAAAATGGGAGAAAACTTCCTCTTGCACAAAACGATAAAAGCAATACGAGATGTCACAAAGGATACCTATTCAAATGTTGACAACACCTCTAAATTGTTTGACATTAAAACTAGATTACATGACCTATGATATGATGAGTTGAAAGTTACTCAATACTTGAACACTCTCCAAATATTGGCTCCAACTAGATAAATATGAAACATACACATGGAGGTACTCACAAGACTCTGCCCTTTACAAAACACTTGTTGAATAGACAACAAAAACAACACATTCATTCTAGGACTCAACAAGAAACCAGATGAAGTTGGAGAAAGAATCATGGGAACCAAATATCTTCCCCCTTTGTTGAAGTACGAAATGAATAAAGCGGGAAGAAGCTCATGATGGTAGGTAATTCCATTATAAAAAAGGTTGACAGCTCGGCTTTATACACTCACAAACCATCTCAGGATAACAAATCAAAGAGGAATAGGTCGTGGTGTTAACACTGCAAGGCGTTTGATCATCTGAAGGAGAATTATTGGAATATTTATGAAAAACTTACAGATTGGAAGCCCAATAATGTCCACAGTGAAGGGAAAAATCAAGTAAATACCACATCAAAGGAAGACATGCCTCGTTAACATAGTCCATGCAGCAAGAAATAACTTGAAGCTCTCCAAAGACTTTTAGGACAATGTTATGAGTCTTCTACTAGCCTTGTAGCACATCAATGTAGTCTTTCATCTATTTTTGTTGCTCCTAACAAGAAGAATCCGCCGCGGATAATGGACTCTAGAGCATCTGACTGCAAGACAAGTGATATCATTACTTTCCAATCCTTCCATTCTTGCAAATACCATGTTGCAGTTAAAACCGTAGATGGCTCTCTCTCATCTGTGGAAGGAAGAGGAAGTGTGAAGCTTCTTATTCTTCAATATGTGTTCTATGTTCATAAACTTTACTACAAATTATTGTTTATTAGTAAACTCACTCGTGTCACGAATCGTGTTACTAATTTCAACCCTAATTTATGTGAATTTTAGGTGATGGACTCAGAAGTTGATTAAGATTGCTTATATGTATCATGAACTTTATTTTCTCACTAGGACTCACTTCAAAAAGACCATCTCACCATTCACAATCCTTCGAGTTAGAGTTAATTTTTATATCTAAGTCTATTTATCATAATGGTCAAGTTATGTTACGTCATTTTCGCCATGAGCATCCTAATTTCTATTATATTAAAAAAATGTATCTCCATTTATTTGTCAACAAAAACCTAATTATTATCAATGTGAAATTTGCCAACTTGTTAAACATACTCGACAAATATACTCAAGCTTAAAGTACAAACCAAGAAATCCCTTCTTAATGCTTCATAATGATATCTAGAGCCAATAAAAATTAAAAATATAAATAGGGACAGGTGACTCATCACCTTCATTGATGATCAAACTAGAACCACTTTGATCTTTCCCACGAAAGAAAATTTTGAATATGTCAACATATTTGAAACTTTTCAAAATATGATCTTCACCTAATTTCAAAGAAAAATTCAAATTCTCAAAACTGATAATGCAAATGATTACTACAACTCCACTCTCGACCTTTATCATCTAAAAAAGACATCATTTATTTAAGCTCTTATGGTGACACACCCCAACAAAATCTTGTGGCTGAGAGAAAAAACAAATTTCTCCTTGAAATGACCCGTTCAATTCTATTCATTAACAATGTACTAAAAGCACTTCTTGGGAGATGCAATTCTCACATCCACTTATCCAATAAATAAGATGTCCAACAGAGTGTTAAACTTCAACAAATCTCTCAATACCCTCATAAAATTCTACCTCTGTATTCAGTCCTTCGCCTGTAACATATCATTAAAAATTTTTGGTCGCATCGCTTTTGTTTATTTACATCAACCACAACAACAACAACAAAGCCTTAATCCTACTACATGGGGTCGGCAACATGAATCCTTTTTTCTCCATTCCGTCCTATTTAGTGTCATATTTTCATTTGTTCTAGGTAAATTAATATCATTTTTAATACAATAAGCCCAAGTCTTCCTAGGTCTACCTCTGCCTTTCTTAACACAAGTCGAATCTAAAACATCTACTCTCCTAATTGGATCATTTGATGGTCGACGTTTAATGTGACCAAACCATCTAAGACGTCATCCCAAAATTGATCCGAAGTAAATCAAATGCATATGTGTGGGTTACTCTTTAAACAAAAGAGGGAATCAATGACACTCTCAATAAACATAAAAATTCTGCAACTCCATGGATGTCACCATCTTTGAAAATTACCCAAAATCTATTATTTAGGGGGAGTTTGTAAAGAATATCATATTTATGGCAGCATTAACCTCGAGCTCACCTCTCTTATATCGCTAATGAACTCATTCTCGTCCTCACTAATCAACCTGAAAATGAACCTACTAATACACTAAATATTCCCACAGCTCGCAATAAGAATTAAGAACTCTATGTATACACCAGAAAGAAAAAACATAGTGAACATATAACATACAAATGCAAATCAACAGAACCAACTCCACATAACCAAAGTATTGACATAAAGGCTGCGCCAACACATAGTGAAACACAAGAGGAAAGAGCACAAGAGAAATGAACAATACCTGAATCACAACTCGACCACCTGGAAAAAAAACTAGAGAGTGCAAATGGGTATTCAGTGTTAAATACAAAGCAGGTGGGAGCATAAAAATGTTCAAGTCTAGATTTTTAGCAAAGTGATTCACTCAGTACTATGAGATCGACTACTAAGAAACAATTGTACCAGTGGCCAAACTCAACATAGTAAAAGTATTACTGTCATTGGTTGTCGACAAGGATTAACCCTTACATCAGTTAGACATTAAAAATTCATTTCTCAATTGAGATTTTGAGAGAGAAGGGTATATGAAGATACCTCAGGGATTAATGAACAACACAAATAATCAGCTAGTGTGCAAACTAAAGAAATCATTGTATGAGTTGAAACAATCCTCCCAACACATGATTTGAAAGGTTTACCAAGGCTATTCTTACCAATAGGTACTATCAGTGTCAGGCTGATCACAATTTGTTTATGAAATCAAATCGAAAAGGTATGATAATCATCTTTATTTTATATGTAGATATTATTTTTACAGACAATAACATAAGCAAAACTGAAACAATTATAGTTTGATATCAAAGATCTTAGAACTTTAAGATACTTCCTTAGAATGAAAGTAGCAAGATCTAAATAAGGCATTGTTAAATCCCAGAGAAAATATATTTTTGACTTATTAAAATAGACAGAAATGTTGGGGTGCAAATCAACAGATACTCATATAGATCTCAATCAACAAACATCAAAAGAAGAGGATAACATCCCAGCTGAAAAAGGTAGGTATCAAAGACTTTTGTGAAAACTTATTTATCTGTCATATACAAAACCTGATATTTGTTTTTCTGCAGATGTAGAGAGCCAACATATGAACAATCCAAATGAAAATCATTTGGAAGCGGTCTTTCAAATTCTGAGGCACCTAAAGATGACTCTAGGATGAAGATTGATATTCAAAAAGAACGAGAATCATCACATTGAGATCTACACTAATGCTAGCTGATCAGGAGAAATGACTACCAGAATTCTACCACGGATTACTGTTCATTTGTATAAGGTAGCCTAGTCACTTTGAGAAGTAAAAAAAGCAAGTTGTGGTAGCAGATAGTGCAGAATCTGAGTATCTTCTCCAGACCATGAGAATTTGTGAAGGATGTGGCTAAAGAAATTACCGGTGGAGCTACACATGGAGAATAAAAGCACTATTACGATGTTCTATAATAATCAATCAGCCATCAACATTTTAAAAAATATGATACACAATGATT